GATTATAAATTGTTAATGGACTGAGAGCCTTTCTATCCAATCAGGATACTGCAAACCTTTTATACTACAATCTGTGCCCTCATTTACACATTCATTCATCAGCACTCTATGTCTCTCTACTGAGCTAATCTAGATAAATCATTTTATAGGGACTAATCAGTGCTTTGTTCATTTATCTATCTATTGAGAATGTTCTGTAGATCAAGTGAATTAATTAATCAATCAATTAATCAATTTTGTGATTTATTTTTTTCTTTTTCTTTTAAATTCACTCAACATTTTTTTTAGTGTACGTCATCGCGTGTCTTACGTGCTTGCGTGCATTTGCGTCACTAGCTGTGTGTTAGCTCGTGCTGCTAGCAACTCGGTGAGCTAGCCCTTTTCAACCAGGCTCGGTTTGTGTGCCAGAGAACAGCTGTCTTCAGAGGGGAACCGTCGCTCCTGTTACACGTCGGGTCTCTATTTAATGCCAAAGAAGATGTCCGACTTTCAGAAAACAGTCTGAAGCTAACCAGCGCCAAACAGACGGGGAAGCTACGCTTTTAATAACGCTTTCCTCGCTGGCATCCTGAGGAGGAAACCTCTGAGATTTTTTGGACTGGATGCGGAAGGAGAATATGAGGCAAGCTGTGTGACTAACGCTAACCCTGAGCTATGCTGCTGGGATCCAAAATCAGAAGGAAATTAATAACTGTGAGCACAATTAACAACTCTGTCAGCTTGACCAGAATTAGCATTTGCGACACGCTCTCTGTAGCCGACCAGTGGGTATATTTGAAGAGCTGTCTCTTGTATTAAAAATACCTTGTGTACCTCTGTACGGAAAGAACGTAAAACAGTGTAGACTGTAAGGCCAAGCATTAGCCGCTAACCAATTTGCGTCTATAATTTTTAAAGAGGTTTTGTCAGCCGTTTCATAGCCGTGTTTATGTCTTTTTTATATCCTGTTTGCATTTACAAAGACCACTGAAAACACTGCTGTTTGCTCGGGCTTTGGTTTCAGAAATGCACTGAGTTGTAAGCTAAGCTAAAGCTAAAATATCTGCTAGCCTGCTAATACCAATCTGAAAACTTAATCTAGGCTTGTAGCTGTCACAGTTTAGACACAAAATTTCATATATTATATTTTGAAATTTGAGATATGGTTATACGTCCGTCTTATTGTGTGCCTTTCTTTAGCTGCTTGTAAATATTATTTTTGTCATGCTCGTAATCTAAAAATCTGTTTTTCACTTTCATTATGCGGAGCAAGTCTGACAACAGTGGTTTAAATTGTCGTTTTAAAACGACAGGATAAGAAAAGAAAGAGATAACCTAACAAGTATAAGATGTTCTAGGAATATTAGGGTTAGTTTACAGGTTTTTAACACTTAAGATGTTGTGATTGTTGGTTAAAATTAAAGATTGGATGACTGGTTTCTATTACATCATTTATATATGTGACTAGGTTTGATTTGTCTTGCAGATGAATGTTTCTTCATACATTAATTTGGATGCCAATGTGCCAAAAACTCTCAATCTTGATTACCCAGAAGGGGTTGGGGTAGAGTGCAGCAACCTCTGTAGAGAAAGGGTGCAAAGGCTGGCAGAAGAATATGCAAGGACCCTCAGCCTCAACTGACATCTGTAAATACCCCCGACACAGAACTGTTGTCCTTGATGAAACSGTCTTGGTCACCATGCTGTCCCCAAAAGAAGTGCCATCATAGACACGGTTCACCGTGGCTCAAACTGCTGCACAGTTTCTTTGAGCTGCATCCTTTAAGGAACCATTGCAACATTTGTCCAACCTAACTGTGGAGATGGGCTCCCAGGCTCTTCAGATATTGCGGCAGGGTGTGTGGGCTTCACTCACAGGGGGCTGGTATGTGGACCCCCATCAGAGCACGTTTTCCAACTGCTTCCACCTGTACCTTTGGATCTTTCTCCTGGCTTTCCCCTTTCTTCTGTACATGGTAAGAACTTTATTTTCCTGCAGATTGTTTATGATTGCACATTAAGTCAGAGAGCTTTCCTTGCTGAAATGCAAGCTGACCAGTCACTGTTAAAGATGTGTTTCTCATTTTTTTTGTACTGGTCAGGCTCTTCCTCCCAGCTTGCTGGTGGCGGGTGCATACTCTGCTGTGGTCGCCGTCTTTTTTACCGCCATCAAGGTGGTGAACTACCGGCTCCACGCCATGTTCGACCTTGGAGAGATTGTGGAGAAGAAGCAGGCCTCGCTCACAGCCGACGCTCCGAGAACAGAAGAAGGAGATGAGGGTTCAGGAGCTCACMATGGGAATCACCACAGGCAAGATGCTCTTCTTACATCACTTTTTGTGGAAAAGCATTGCAACACTTTGACGTGTTGAGTTCTTATATTATTTGCAGGGATAGTCACGTTGGTGTGGAGATGACCGTGTTTCGGAAGGTTAACTCCACGCCCCCGGTTCGCTGCAGTTCCCAGCACTCCCTGTTTGGATTAAACCAAGTGTCGGTGAGAGTTGTGTCTCTTCTTTSTTTCTTGTGTTCTATTTTTTTTTGTTTTGACACATAATCAGTGCCTTCAACAGCAGTTATTTTTGGTGGTTTTTTAATTTTCTACCAATTTGCAAGAAAAGTACACTCTAAAAATGAAATGTTGGATTTACTTAACCATGTTATTTTACCTGCTTCCACTTAACTGAGTTGAGTAAATTCAAAGCAACATATTCATGTTCTTTGGTTAAAAACTGGTATATTGCTTTGAATTTACTCAACTCAGTTAAGTGGAACCAGGTAACATAACATGGTTAAGCAAATCCAAAATTTCATTTTTTACAATGTACGTTTATTGTGGCTGCATAAAGACGTCTTTTATTATTAAAGTCAAAAACTTAACGATTTAATGTTTCAGGAGTTCTTGCCCCAGATGGAGGACTCGGGAGGGACTAAGGGTAAGCATCCGTGTTTTTAACCTTTTTTTTCTAAGATTAAAGTCTCAGGTGAAACAAAAAAAATCTAAAGCATTTCACAAAACAGTTTTACTCTGTTTGCYTTTTAAGCGTCATTGTTTGTTTTATTGCAGATTTAAAAGAATTGTCTCAGGAGCAAGGAAGCAGCAGTGTAATCCTGACTTCAGCCCATCGTGAGATTGTACAAAAGAGTTCCCAGGACATCCAGAGTAAGTCTGCTGTTATTCACTGATCTGCAATGAGCTTTATTCCACACCAAGCAGCATCTAATCCTGCCTGTATAAAAATAACTCAAAGCATACCAGTACACGCATACAAATCCATTCATGAAAGGGATTATTTTTAACCTCCTCTTTGTTCTGCAAAACCAAATTTTAATGTTGCAGCACTTTTCAGAGAGCCTTGCATTCTGATTTTTTTATTTTTATTTTTTTCATCGCTTGTACTTCTCAGGGGTTCCCAGTTCGATCCAGACCTGCATTGCCACTTCTCTGGGAAGAGAGATCCCGGGTATCATGGGAGTATCAGGAGTGTCAGCTGGACTTGAAGAGKCTGGAGACTGCTTGTCCATTCCTCCTTCACCCTCGAGTCAAGAAGATGGAGGTGAGAAAGAGCAGATGGAGGATTCGCCGGAACAGTCMTCTCATCGGCGTCCTGAGGGAAATGGGATGGGAGCGTATTCTCCCCTCGGCCCCTCTGCTGAATCTGAGAGCTTGGGAGACACTCCTCTCAGCCCTCTCATAAAGAGCAGCTTAAGCGAGGAGCTAAGTGAAAATCTGATGGGTTTAGGTCTGGACCCGGGGGCGTTCGCACCAGGGACTGAGCAGCCAGGCAGCCGCAGCGGAGTGGCACTGGCTGCTGGATCCACAGACAGCTGTTTCAGTGCAGGAGGCGCTACGACAGACCGCGAGACACTAAGTACTGTAAGCAGTTACCGCAGTGAAAAAACTGATTCGACTCYGCTGGAGAGCGCGTCGCTCAGCCAGCCGCAGCCTGCAGATGGACAGGCGTCTGCCTCGGCACCAGCGATGGGTTCTAATGTTCTCAACCACACAGAGGATCCAACAGGACTGGGTGGCAGTGATACTGACAACCTGTCAGACAGCGTGCTCCTTCGCTCCCCTTCCAAAGAATTATCCATCAGCCAGGGGCTAGACCGAACACTTGTTGAGGGAGACGATTTGCCGTCTGTACCTGTTGATATTGCACAGCCCCCTCCTCTCCAGAACTCCTCCCCTTCAAGTAGTGGACACTCTGAGYTTTGTGATTTAGACAGGAATGTTGCAGGTCCTCCTCTGCCCCCTCCTCGGCAGGCCAATTCAGTGCCTTCAGGGCTGGCCCTGGGACTAGTGTGTTCTGAGCCCGCCCTGCCCATATCCTCCACGCCCCTGCTCCTGTCCGAGGAGCCTGCTCTCCAAACCCAGCAGGTCGTGCGTCCTAAAGACTTGAAGCTGCTGCGGGCCGGCGGCGGGAGCATGGGCCACAGGCCGGGTCGGAGGAAAGCTCCAAGGCGGCGAGCAGGAGCAGGCAGCAGCAGCTTCGACTGCGGCTCCTACAGGCGTCACCACAATCACAGACAACACAGAGATTATATCCCGGTGCGCAGCCGACTGGGCGCCAAAGCTTACAGCGAAAGTTTGTTTGAGGATTCCAGCGATGAGGACGACGCAAGTGACATGAGCGCTGGTTCTAGTCTGGGTTCTCAGCGCAGATACAGCTCAGATGAGGATAARGACAACGACGACTCGAGTTCCTCTACCTCCTGCTACTCTTCTGACCACGCCAACACGGACATGAAGACCCTGCTCTCCACCGCTGCTCAACTCCCCACCCAGAGGGAAGGGGATTTACCCGAGCCCCCTGGCCCTGCTCATCCCCGTGCTGCTCAGCGCTCTTCAAGCACAGCTAGTGCTAAGACTCACGCAAGAGTACTAAGTATGGACGGAGCYGGCGGCGCCCAGAGCAGCACGGCAGCCACGCCCACCACTTTACTGTCAATGCCCTCCACCTCCACCCCAGCACCACGCACGCTCACCATGTCCAAGTCTGATCTGGAGGCCCGCACCATACACACCGAAGGCTTCTCTGGGGGCCATCATCATCGGCTGGACTCTCTTGGGGGGTCTTGGACCGGCAACCAGATGGGTTGGAGGGCAGGAGAGCTGATTGAAGAGGGAGCTGTAGGCGGAGGTGAGTTGGTCACAAATCTGCGGCTTAAATATGTTTTAATCTGTTTACCTAACTTAACCTMATATGAATGTTTCTAAATATGTTACTAATTAATTTAGTAAATAGATTGGTTGAAGTCAAGTTTTCTTACTGATAGTGTTTTACCATAAAGATTTATTTAGCTTGGAAGAAAATGCAGAACTTTATATATTATAGAAACATGATGCGCAGAAAGCAAAACTGTTTTTTTTTACATAACCAGTTAAAATGACAAAATTTTACAACTACAGTTCAGAGCTGAACATTTAGGATCCTCACACAACTTTTTAGAGTTGTTTTTATTCCGCTTGTTATTGCAAAACAGACAGTAACGTTGATCATAAATCCAGTGAAAACTTGAATTTGTGGCTTATATGGACACGGTTTCATCATTGTTTGTTATTGAAAGCATAAAGCTGTCATTTTTTGCATTTAGTGGCAAAGAAGTTCAGTCAAATTTATTTATAAGCACATTTAAAAAGTGCTGTATACAGAAAAGGTGCAGGAATAAATGAGACGATAATATAATACAAAGAAAGAACAATCATAAAAAAACAGAACAGGCTAAAAAAAACAAACTTAAATGAGGTCATAACCCAGTCTGATTTAAGTGCCATGGAATAAAACCAAGCATTTAAATGGTTTTTAATGTGTTTATGTTTTAATGTAACAACTGTGTACTAGAGAGWAAATGTTCTGTAGATCACAGGTAAACCATTTCTACTTAAATTATATTTTTAAATGATGATTTGCTGTCAGTAAAACAACACAGGGAAGAGAAAACCCCTCCCTCTTCTTAGTACATGAAGAGGGATGTTTTAAAGTGTGATTATTTAAAGTTTTGAGTGACTTCAGATTCAAATATATGCTCTAAAGCACAAAACATTATTCCACCTTTAAGACATCAATTAGCCACATTTAGTTTATAAATGTGAATCAWCTTTAAATATTCAAGCTTAATTCAGTTTTTACATACATTAACAGGTAAGTTATGATTATTAGTGTTCAGTAAACCTTTAAAATGGTCAGTTGTAAACAGGTTAAACCAGGTCACAGTTTAAATGTGTGCTGATGGAGCTTGGTCTGATTTAGTAAAAACCGATGCTGAAAGGTAGATCTGTGTTGATGTAACTCAAAACTCTCCCCTCCAGCTTTGGGTCCAGAGGACGGGAACAAACACGAGTCAGTCAGCAACGTTAAACGCACCCAGGCAATACGCAGGAGGCACAATGCTGGGAGCAACCCTACACCTCCTCCTTCAACCATGGGATCCCCTCCCAGGTTAGTCAGGCAGGCAAACACGAGCCAGAGTTCTAGGTCTCTGCAGAAATATCAGCAAGTTTTAAGAAAACATGCAATGGARGTTAAAAAAGACTCWYGTTTGATCAAAAGATGGGYAAAAAAGCCTGGAATTAGATCACGAACAGTGCCAAAATATTTCCTTTTCTTTTCTCCTGTAGCCTCCAAGACCTTCAGCGATCTCGCACCTCCTCTCATTCACGCACACGCACACTTCCCTCAGCCTTACAGTTTGCGTCTTCACTCCTCCTGCCCCGCAGTGGCATCCACGAGGCCTCCACCTTTGATGACACGTCAGAGGGAGCTGTGCACTATTTCTACGACGAGAGCGGTGAGTCGGTGGTTGTTTGAGACAACAGCCCTCTGAGGATAAAGGTTAAGGCCACCACAGTTTGTGGTCATTCTGTTGCGTTTTACATTCATTTATTTAGTTTTTTTCTCAAACCACAATTTGTCTCACAACACTACCAAAAATAATGTCTTAAAGGGGCAACATCATGTAAAATCTAATTTTTTGAGATTTATGTCATGTCATGACATTATTCCTTCATCAAAAATGTACTCAGAGTATTGCTTTGCCTCATTCATGCATGTTTGAGAATAATATTGGTCCTTTTAAACCATCATCTCAGTGAAGGAGCAAAAAAGAAATCCATCCTGTTATAAAGTAATTTTCTGTTTTTGTTTAATCTTGCTTTAATTCTTTAAAAAATGATTAGTTTGAAATGTTAAAACCAGATGGAAAAATCATAAACGTCATATGTTACTTGGCTAATATTCCCAGTCAAAGGGATTACATTTCTGTTCTTTTGTGTAACAGGAGTAAAAAGGTCCTACACATTTGGACCTTCTGGAGGTGGATATGAGGACCCAGTTCAGTAAGTAAAATCATTTCACTCACTTTATTTTGGTTTTCTAAGACTGCAGTTTAAAGTGAACTCATTGCAGGGAAAGAGAGAGGCAGTCCCAGTCCTCCAGCTTCACCTCCACTGAGGTCCAGGAAGGGGCACCGGTCCTGTCCATCCTCCAGCCTAGACCAGTGGTTTTACAGGGCATGCAAGTGCGCAGGGTACCCCTGGAAATGCCTGAGGTTAGCAGGTCTTTTGTGTTTTACCAGCCAGATTCTTCCTGGTCCTTTGTATTGAAATTATTCATCAGTTGTTTAATTGTGTTTCCAGTTTGATCTGGACCATGAATCCCTTCAAGAGTCCCATGAAAACACTCTGATGATCGAGGAGAAAGCCAAACCCAAACAGTACTATCGGTTCTGGGTGCTGCCTGGAAAGTGGCTGAGGGTTCGATACGACCGACTGGCTCTTCTGGCTTTACTGGACAGGTGAGACAAACTGTAGGACAGGTGAGACAAGCTGTAGGACAGGTGAGACAAGCTGTAGGACAGGTGAGACAAGCTGTAGGACAGGTGAGACAAACTGTGGGACAGGTGAGACAAACTGTGGGACAGGTGAGACAAACTGTGGGACGGGTGAGACAAACTGTGGGACGGGTGAGACTTTAATTCACTTAATGTTACTTTTATTGCAGAATTGTCTTTAAAAATGGCCAAAAAAGTTATGAATAACTTAAAACTGCATTTCAGTTACATTAGAGTTACACATAAGCGGTGCACAGCATGCGCAATCAAAAAAAAGAAAAAGCGCACCAGATGGAATGTCATAAAGCTCCCTTGCGTACCTAAGATTGTACCTGAGATTGTGAAAACAGCTAGCAGGGTCGCAAATGTGACCTGATTTCTTAAAAACAAACAAAACAAAAAAAATCCAGCCTCACTGGTGTGACTGGATCGTCGTTCTGTCGGAGGAGGACAGCGGGGCCCTGATGTATGAGGATTAAACAGACACTGCTTTCAACGAATCAGATGAACTCCAGAGCTGTTTTATCCAATCAGAGCAGAGCAGGGCGGGACTTTCAGTGAGAGCAGTTTTCAGCAGCAGCTGCAGCGATCAGTCCTGACATCTCTCCTGCACTTTCCTCTTGAACTACCAGAAACGTTGGTCTCTAAAACCTAACTTTATATTAAATATATGTTCAGAGCGTTGTTATCGAACAGATCTGTCCAACTTTGCGTGACTAAACTCTCTCCTGAGAGACGGGAACTCGCCTCAGCGCGCGCAGGCTGTGAGTCTTTCTGTGAGATTCACTYTTCGAGTTCTTCTAAACCATATTACCTCTAACAGAAGAACATTTATTTACCCCACATCAAAGCAAAGATGAGTCTCTGTTTAATGTCACCCCCATCCAAAAAAATAAAAACTTGCCATGTTCTCTAGGTGAATGAGTTTTAAATGTCATTTAAATTTATCAGAAAGATCCACAAATTTCATTCTTCAAAATTTTATGAAAACAACAAGGTTCTTGATGTGGTAAACATATTTACATTTAGATTCATACTGTGACACAGCTGCTCTGGGATAAATGTAATTCAATAAATGATAAAATATGAAGAGTAAATAATTTTAAATGTTTACATGAGCTGAAATCATCTAAATATAATCTTTTTGAATAAAATAGTCTTTTAAAAAAGAAACCAGTCTAACAAAACATTTTTTCCTTTTGCAAAAGACAGATATTTGCTACTTGGTCTGGAGAGTGTGGAAAGCTGGTATAAACTAGGCCAAACTACAGGAGCTGTACATCTCAGTGTCATGTGTAATCTAAGACATTTAAGCATGAAATGTTCAGTTTGAGATGACATATGCCCATGGGTCAGCCCGTTGGCCACTTAGGTAGTTTACAAAATTTATGCAGAGATAAAAAAAAAACAAAAAAAAATACTCTGATTTGGCATGATGTCCTGAGACGTTGCCAGCTAATAGAAGGAGTCATAAAACAGAACAGGGTGATAATAAATGCCCTGACACCCCTCTAGATAAATGTGTTAAATGGGTTAAGGAAAATATGAGGACCAAGCAACAAGCCCAGGTTCTCCCCTGAGAACCAGACCAAACATTTATGTGCAACCCTGGTTATATATATTAATTTTTTTTATATTGAAATTCATCTCAGAACTTCTTGCCTTTTAAAATACACAAAAAATGAACAGAACTAGTATCAACTATCTGTTGATTTTATTCTGTGTTTGTATGCAGTACAGTGTGAATANTTTCCTTTTGCAAAAGACAGATATTTGCTACTTGGTCTGGAGAGTGTGGAAAGCTGGTATAAACTAGGCCAAACTACAGGAGCTGTACATCTCAGGGTCTTGTTTAATCTAAGACATTTAAACATGAAATGTTCAGTTTGAGATGACATATGCCCATGGGTCAGCCCGTTGGCCACTTAGGTAGTTTACAAAATTTATGCAGAGTAAAAAAAAAATAAAATAAAAAAACTCTGATTTGGCATGAAGTCCTGAGAAATTGCCAGCTAATAGGAGTCATAAAACAGAACAGGGTGATAATAAATGCCCTGACACCCCTCTAGATAAATGTGTTAAATGAGTTAAGGAAAATGAGCACCAAGCAACAAGCCCAGGTTCTCCCCTGAGAACCAGACCAAACGTTTATGTGCAACCCTGGTTATAAACTTCTTGCCTTAAAATACACAAAAAACTAACAGAACTAGTATCAACTATTTGTTGATTTTATTCTGTGTTTGTATGCAGTACAGTGTGAATATAACGAATGCATGTTTTTTTAAACTAACATTCAGTTTGCAATGGTCATGAATAAATCCATGTTGTTCTTCAGTCGTGTCAGTGGCGTTGTGTGTTTTAGGATAATTAATTACTGTGTATTTTATCTTCAGGAACCGCAGAGTGGGTGAGAACGTGTTTGCTGTGGTGTTGGCCAGTCTGGTGGCCTTCCTGGGGTTCTTACTGCTGCTGCAGGGCTTCTTCAGGGACATCTGGGTCTTCCAGTTCTGCCTGGTCATCGCCAGCTGCCAGTACTCCTTACTGAAGGTACCTGATTATTGAATCTATAACATCTTATATGCATTAAATAATTATTAAATATAGATGTTATCAATCCACTAATAATTCTTCAGATGTGCAGTATAGTTTTCTTTAGATTATTGGCTTAGATTTTMTATTATCCACAAACTAAAGTTCCTCACCTGTGTGTTGCAGAGCGTACAACCAGATGCAGCCTCTCCCATGCATGTGAGTACAGTTTTTTACTTTATAGCAGGTGTTTAAGTGTTGATTCTAAATTCTCAGATATTTATTTAACCTCTGACCTGCAGAGGTCAAACTACACCTAAAATACAATAACACTACACTTTCATATCTACTGTTTCTACATCACTTTTCTTTGCGGAAGCTTTTTGTTGTGGGAAAATACAATTTATATGTTTACCATCACTGAAATACATGTGATACACTTTTGTTATGTGATCCTAGAAATGTATTTAGAACAAAAACTGAAGGAAAAACGTATTTTTTTCCTGGTTTATTTGAACAGGGTCATAACTGGATCATCGTGTACAGTCGTCCGGTGTATTTCTGCTTGTGCTGTGTGATGATCTGGATCTTTGACCTGTCTGGACGTTCTGGAAGCATGCAGCCATTCTCCCTCTACGGTGTCACCTTCTTCTCTGCACACTTTCTGCTGTGTGTCAGAGATATGCTGATTGGTTAGTTTTTATGACCTTTTTTTAATATCAACTTTGCAGCAGGTGTGTAGGTCACCATTCTTGAAATGATAAAATCAGTTTGATGAGCAAATTTTTGTTTTTTATTTTATTTTTTTGAGATTTGTTTTCTTCTTTTCTCCATAGTTTTTGCCTTGTGTTTCCCGGCCATTTTCCTGTTTGGGTTGCTACCTCAGGTTAATACTTTTGTGATGTGTCTGCTGGAGCAGATCGACATGCACGTTTTTGGTGGAACTGGTAAGAAAAAAATCTACACAACTTTACAGTTTGGGTCATGAGATAAACTGTTTAGAAACCGTACACAAACACGTCCAACAGTTTATGTGTGTAGTTGTATTTACTTTACCTTTTTAGGACCGTTTCTGTTATAAACACCTACCTTGTCAAGACCAGTGACCAGTCTTAATGTGGTGGAACTCCATTTTTGGAGAGTTAGGGTTGGGATAGGGGTCAGACTTGCCGGARGATTGCTCCACAGAGTTGGTAAATCCCTTYGGAAGTGCACTCTCGCTCAAGACCAGGTCCAGTCCTCGAGAACTGGTTCCTATCTTTATAGGAAGTGCATGGTGGACCATTGGAGACAGCCTGTTGATTTGTATGTTCTGATTTGTGCTGTAAGATGTAGTGGAGTACGGCTGGCATATTCCTGTGAGTGTAAGTACTGTTTGAGTAGAACTCAGATAGTACATTGAGTGTTTGTCATGTGCTGTGCTTCGGAGAGTTCAGGGAAGGGAAGGGAGGATTAGACAGAGGAGGGTGAGTGTTGGGCAAGGGGTCAGGAATGGTTGAGGCTGTGGTTTGGTATGTGTATACTGTATATAGGATGTTTACACTGGAGTTAATCTAAAACCCCTTATCTAATGGTCAGGTAAGGGGTGAGAGTTAGGCTGTAGAATGACTGGAAATGAACTGAAGTCAATGAACGGTCCTGATAAGGATGCTAATATGGAAAAACCCGTA